GGACCATTTCACGAATTCCTTCCAACTAGCTTTTCTTTCGAAATGGTAAGTCATGTCACTATATACCACTAAGGAATTCTTAAAAACTCAGTTTCTTTCATATGGCAGAGTTGTTTCCTTTTCGGGGCATTCATTTTGATGTGAGTAGCTTTCGAGATTATCCATAATCCTTAACATTTTTTTGCCTAACATTAGATCCGTTAATAATTCAACTTAATCTTTTAGTGAATTTACGTTCATGTTGTTATGCTAAATTCAATCACCATCCTGCCACTACCATAATGTTACCGAGAATAGATAACTCATTTCTTGCTCCTTGCTTTAAAACAGGTTAAATTTTTTCTCGGCCGTGTTTGGGCCAAGTCCACTGGCCAGCCACGTCCGGACACTTTCATTGTCGACACTGACGGCCGGATTCGTGCCATCACTCGTCTTGATCGTGAGCAAACAGACGCCTACTTGTTAGAGGTGCGTGCTTGTGACTCGGCAAGTGATCGTCCACGTTGCAGTCGACTCAATGTGACGGTCACTGTGGTCGACATCAATGACAACCAGCCTGTCTGGCAATTTCCCCGTGGCCTCGACGCCGCCATCAACATCACTTCTGATCTGCCTGCAGGCGAGATAGTGGTTCGGTTACTGGCGACGGACGCCGACGCTGGAGAGAACGCCAGACTGCGCTACTCACTCATCGATAAGAGCCGTCTCACAGGTGAAATCAAAAGCCGCCAGTTACTTCCTTAGGGTTTGGAAGCCTCTGTATCTTCGAAGACTTTTTATTTTTATACAAAAAATGCGGGTTTCAATGGATCTCGTAAGATAACACTGTTGGGGCGACTTTCATTTCGGATGAAAGCGCACAATGAAAAGTTTCGTAGGCCAATTTCATCAGAAGACATTGGCTAATTCCCGTTGTGCTGCAGTCGTTTGCTTTTAACAAGACATTCAGGTTGATGCAGTCTACCAGAAATCCTCCAACGTTTCACACGAGGACAGGTTGTGCTTTCGTTCATATGAAGAAAAACTGGGTTTCGAAGAATTCCTTAATGAAATATTGTGGCATGAATCTCCATTTCGAAGGGGAAGTTGGTCAGGCTGTTACAAGGTTTTGCGCTCATGTAGGGCAGACCTGCCGACCCATTCACAAGAGACTATGCGAACACAAAACCGCTTGTAAAGGTCTGTGCGTCCAAAAATCTGAGCTCGCTGAATACTTGACTAATACAGGATACTCAATAGATTGGTCCAAAACACGTTTTGTGGGTTACGGGAAATTCACATCAACGCGTAAGATTAGGTAGTCTATAGAAATTAACAAAATAGCTAACGTCTTGAATAGGAAGAATGAGTGTAGAGAATTGAGTAGGAACTATTTGTGGTTGTTGGATAGACTTAGGGAAAGGGAGAGAGAGGGGCTCCAGGAAGAGCCACTGAGTAAGAGGAGGCTGGATTAGGACTATCATACTGCCCATGACATGAATATTATATACACACAAAAGATACAATAGCACAAGCCCAAACATGAGTCAGCATTAGGCGATCGTACGTTTTTATGTGATGAAACAGCTGGCACCGAACGCATTTCCGGTTCTGAAAGCTAACTTCACTCATTTGCAAGCATGCAGAGTAAGATATGAAGACCAAAATGTTGTGGCCTCTGGTATGGTCGCAGTCTCCTTTCGATTTATAGAAGTGGG